CTTCACAGACTATTTCTTGAAAAAGAACAAAATAAGCCTGTCACTTCAAAGAAAATAAATGATAGGAGTTTGTTGTCAGTGATAAAGTTTTAGCTTTCAAGTGAATTTTGGAAAACTTGTAGCTGCCATTCTGATCTTGAAAGATACCCATACCTTTCTGATGAGATCAGTGGTGATATTAACAAATGTGATTTTTAAAAAATAATTATCTGTGGTGACATTTGAAAGATCTATGTAACTCAGAGGACCAATATTTTCCAAATTGCCAAGGCATGATATTACAAAATCATATGGAGGTAAAAGATTCATTCAAAATGCAAGACAAATTGTAATGTAAGTGTATGAAAATTTCATTGACATGTTTTCAACTTCCACACTGCAACTAACATTTAAGAAATTACCACTTGTTGAGTTTGGGGTAATAGCAAAGAAGAGTATCCACAATGGCTTGAAAAGTGATGATCTGAATGAAAATAGTTCTCCCTTCTTCATGTAATAGGTTTATTATTTTAAAAAATGAGTTAATAAATCTATTAAAAATTCTCAGCTTTAATATTTAATTTAATAATATAAGCCACATAAACAACAAACTCTTTGGGATCCTGTTTTTAAGAGTGTAAATGGGTTCTGAGATCTATTTGAAAAATGCTGCCATAAAGTATTATCTCAATTACTAAAAACTAAAAATGGTTGTTTATGTCATCTCCAATTAGAATACAAAGAAAAACCAATAGAATTTATTCTGAAACATAAAGAGGGTATACGAAATCTAGGAGTCTTCTAGAATTACATTTCTATCATTTATCTTTTAGAGAGAAGATAAAACCAAAATACTAGAGGGAAGGAGAAAAACATGCTTTTAACATGCACACAGGTCAACATCCATCAGAACATTATTTCTTACAAAGAATAAACCATGGGACACATTTTGCTTTCAGATGAACACAACTGTTCAATGATGTGTGTGAACCATTCTCTCAGAGGAAGCTGGTTCTGTTTTGGGACTCAGTGTTTAAATATTGTTAGTTATATAGTCAAAAAAGAGTCTATGTGAATTCTCCAGCCCACCATGCCCCTTAAATTCATAAATTCCAGATCTATTTAAATAAGCAATCTAAACAGACCCTTTCCACTGTCAAATACCATTACCATGTTTATGAAGAAGTCTGGTTTAGGCAATTGTTCCCTTTGTGAACCTGAGTTGAAGTGGGTGAGTTTTAGGCTGATTTTTGGTTTGTGTTGCCCCTTTTTTCCAATGCAATATCAAAAGGACTAAACTACATAGTCACAAAATTCCCTAAACTTAAAATAAAGTGGTCGGTATTCAGTGCTAAGAGAATAAACAATATATTCATAATTTGACTAATGTTTACAGATTGAATAATCTAATAATTCTATAGATAATCTAGAGATTACAGGTAAATAGCTTTATTTGATCATGTTTCTAAACACATTGATTTGGAAGTCTACTGAATGAATAAGAATTCCTTGAAGTAGGGAATGGCTACATAAGCCTCTTGGTATTAAGAATCAGTTTAGTTTTCTGTACTGTATTACATTTTCAGGTGTTATGACCTCTGACTAAATCAGAATATTTAAAGTTTTTCTTTTTTCTGTAGAAAGGGAGGTAATCTTTAATTGACCAGTTATGAAAAGGGTTTTTCTGATTGAAGTATTTTTACTTTTGTAACTATAATTACCATTTTTATTTGTGATTAAAAATATTTCTAAATATATCATGACATTTTTCGACAATGGTATTTTAATTTGTATGTTGAACAAGCACAGCTCTTAAGGTACAATGTTGATATCAACTCTATTTTTGTCTCCCTTTGTCTCTGTTCATTGAGGGATCATTCTTCTGCTTCTGGATGAACATTTAGGTAATACTATGACTTTCTGGTGTTTCCTACTATAAAATGTCTAACTACACTTTAAGTTGCAAAATACCTGAACCCTCCCTCTGCATTCATCCCTTGAGGATGGCTCTCCCTCCCAACACGCTCACATCTGGTCTATGAGCAACACTTACACATCCTCTGATTCTGAGAGTTCAGGCTGATTTTAATGCAGCAGCAACCTTTCCTTTTCTCCTACTGTCAGCAGCTAGCTATGTAGAG